GGTTGCCCTTACGGGTCTCTAAATGCCGACTGAGTATTTCATGTCAGTAGCCGAGAGGTTGAGGTGCGCGTTCTCTCTGCTCGGGTAACGCAGCCTGAAAGCGCTGTTCAATGACAGACACGCTTGGTGAGGCTCTGGTGTATGTGCGTGTGTGCATCTGTTCCCCTTACACAGTTTTCTTATGTTCCAACAATTAACTCTATAAACGCTTTTTGCTTCTACAGCCTTTCCATAGCATCTGGATCACTCTGGATGTGGATTAAAAATAAAGGAAGCTGGTTAACCATAGGTTTACCTGAAACGGTTGAGCACCTTTTGGTGTTGAAGGAAGGGCCAGCAACCAGCACGCTGGGCCAGCACAGCCCTGGTAGCTGGTTAGCTGGCATCCCACCCCTGTGCCCCTCATTTCCACCCCCCTGGGTCAGAGGCTGAAGCTCTGCCTTACGCTAAGTCCCTTCCCGAAATCTTGTATCTCTTAGCTGCAGCTATAATAAACCGTACTACTTCAGGCTGTGTTTTTCCCAACACTAACTCACATTTTTTTCAGAAGGACTGACGTAGTCCCTGTCCCTTGTCATACGCCTATCAAAGCATTTAATGTGAGGAGGTTAAAGAGAAGTTTGACTCTAGAAGAAACTTTTATAATGGCAGAGTAATAACATTGCACGCTAGTTTATTTTGCAACTTCATCAGTTTTATCTTTGTTTGCCTTAGTCTGGGTTAGGCTTCTTGCAGGAAAGCAGTTTGTGTTTGCTTCCACGTAAGGGAGATTTGCAATTCCCCACAGTGCTTACAGGCTGCTGCTGTAGAGAGTTACTTTGTGACACCAACGATGTCTTGTTACTGTTGCGCTACATTTTGTGGCAAAAAATTGTGATTTTTTTTCTTTTTTAGTGAAAATAATTTTGAATATTTATAGTTACTACCTCAGATAAAGAAAACACTTAATACTCTGTTTTCTTCTTGTATAAGGAATGGATAGGTAACAAATAGCACAACTGAAGTTTTTCTGACCTTTTTTCTCAGACTTTTGTTTGTTTCTTTTCATGTTTTCAATATCCCGTAATGAAGGAGAGACTTGTAAGGTGACTTACAGGAAGGTCATTTTTAAATGTCCCTTAAGCATTTAAACAAGGAGAAGATGTTCTCTTCACTGTAATGTGATCAGTGTTCTGTCACCTGCTTACTGCAGTTTGTAACTGATTTTTATTTATAAGGTACTGTTTCACAAGGTACAGCTCACTGTTGTCAAAAGGTGCAGGTCCCGTTTACCATAGAATCATAGAATGGTTTGGGTTGGAAGATAAGTGCTCCCGCCCTTGGATCATTTTGGTGGCCCTCCTCTGGACCTGCTCCAACAGTTCCATGTCCTTCTTGTACTGAGGGCTCCAGAGCTGGATGCAGGACTCCAGGTGAGGTCTCACCAGAGCAGAGTAGAGGGGCAGAATCACCTCCCTCGACCTGCTGGCCACGCTGCTTTTGATGCAGCCGAGGATACGGTTGGCCTTCTGGGCTGCAAGCATGCATTGCTGGTTCATGTCCAGCTTTTCATCCATCAGTACCCCCAAGTCCTCCACAGGGCTGCTCTTGATCCTTTCTTCCCCCAGCCGGTATTGATACCAGGGCTTGCCCTGACCCAGTGCCAGACCTTGCACTTGGCTTAGTGGAACCGTGTTGAGGTTCAGACGGGCCCACCTCTCCAGCCTTTTAAGGTACCTCTGGATGGCATCCTGTCCCTCAGACGTCAACCACACCACTCATCTGGTGTCATCTGCAAACTTGCTGAGGGTGCACTCGATCCCACTGTCTCTGTCGTTGATGAAGATATTTAACAGTACTCTTCCCAATACAGACCCCTGAGGGACACCACTCATTACTGGTCTCTACTTGGGACACTGAGCTGTTGACAGCAACTCTTTGGATGCAGCCATCCAGCCAATTCCTTAGCCATCTAACAGGCTGTCCATTAAACCCATATCTCTTTAGTCCTTCACCGTTTCTGTCTTTTCTGTCTTCTGCCCTGTCAGCTCTAGCTCATTGGACCTTTTCATAGGCCAATTTAACTCACTGGAATAGCAGAAAAAATTGTGCTTTACTGAGTTTTCTGAGTTCAATTAGCTTTGGAAAGTCTGACGAGGATGTGAGCTGTCAGGGAAGGAGCGGGGAGAGAAAGAAGAGACAAGAGAAGAGACCTCCCTGTTCTGCAGCAGCGAGCCATTAGGTCAACTCGTCTACTCAATGAAGCATAACCATAGCCTTAATAATTATACCAGGTCCATAGCATATTTTGCATTACATTTTTCAAGTATCCAGGATAAAAGAAGGAAAGTAGCATAAATAGTTTAAAACGTGACCCAGTAAGCTCGAAAGTGCATTCCCATGTATTTTCCCATCTGCAACGCGAATATTACACCTGGCTACAATGGGTTGTTTCAGTACTTGATACAGGAGTCTTTTAGTTGCCTGTCTCTGTCTTGGCAGCTGTTGATCTGATGCCCAATTTTTGTCATTGTGCAAAGATAGCTAATAACTTGCTGTAATGTTACAACTACTGAAATGTACGGGCAAGCCACTTGGTATGACTGCGTATCTAGTACTGGCAGACCCGTTTTATTTGCTTGTTGTGTTTACGTCTTTGAAATCAAAGGACAATTACATTTTTTTAATGGGCAGAAGTAACAGAGAACATAACTGGAAAAAAAAAAACTTGCTTTCCTTTTGAGAGGAATGACAGGGAAAACAGGGACTCGCAAAGAAATAAATACATTTTATAAAACCAAGGCATGCTTAAAAAGGAATAACCTGCAGGTTGTTAGTGTTACTAACCATGGTCAGAAATTGCCTGGAGTTCCAGTCACGTGTTCTATGTATTTTATTTACACTGGAGAGCTGAGAATTGACTAGAAGTCCCCTGAACAAGCTAGAGACATTTTCTTACCAGCTATAGCATGGAGAGTAAACTTGTTATGTGTTTTAGTGTGGCTGATATCTGCACGACTTGTAATTGTATAAAAAAAATCAAGTTCCTGGCTAGACTAAATAAACGGTAATAGAGTTGAATCACAGTGTGGTAGTGCTATTGCCACTGTGTGGAAAATTGGAGACCTTGCCTTTCCTTTGTAGTCCAACAAGCTTGTACGCTTTGAGCTAATTCATTAATTTTTACCTTGAGCAAGCCCAGGACCATGCTGTTTCTTGTATACCTTCCAACTCTACTTTGAAAACTAAGCATGCGCTCTAAGGCATGTGGGTTGATATTTTTATGTTCTTACCTTCCGTTAAAACCATTAGTTTTATAAGTCAGGGTATACTGTCTTTACATGCTGCAGCCTGTAATTCTGAAAAGTGCTGCTGAACACACTGAAAGTGTCAATTGGACACCCCGCCATCTCATTTTGACCCTCTCTTAAGTTGCCACTGGGGACTGATTTGTAATGAGTTGTTACATTTTCCTACCGCGCTTTTTTTTTTTCCATGCTCTGTTGGTTTTTAGCTTTCTGTCCAGTTCTGCAGGGTCTCTCCTTGCCCAGTATTATAAATGGTTTTGGGCTGCACTGGTATTTACACAGGTCTTCAAGAACGTCTTGGGAAATTTCCTTTTTCGAAAGGAACTATCATCTGAGTTAGAGCTGTAGTGTAAGAAAGGGTTGAAAGGACATCACGATTTGGGAGAGGATGTTATTCAGTGGAAGTAATGAAAAGGGAACAGTCGCAGCTGAAGGAAAGGTGCTAAATTGATGACTTTGCAACCCAATTTAACTTCCTCACGTATCTTAAAGAGCTATGTGTTTATTCTAGTTAGTTCCATTTGAAGTCAGCAGGAGCAGAATTGGGTCCCTGTAGGTCTAAACCTCTGTGTTTTTCAGGCTGATTAAGGGTGTAGTTTGCCTCAGTGCCAGTGAAGGAATGGACTGACAGAGCTGCCTTCTGATGTGTACCTGGTTCATATCGAAGTTGTCCTGCACAAATGTGTCTGCATATGTGTGATATGTGAGAAAGGCAAAATTTGACTCCAAATTTGAGAAATCATTTGAAATAGAATATTCAGTGTCACTTGTAAAATATGCAATTTTATTAGTTATATAGCAATGATACTATGGAAGAGTTTTGAGTTTGCTAGGAAGTCTATAACCAATGTTATAGATAAATAACATTAGTGTTAATAATTAAATATTAAAATAACATTAGGAGAAGTTTCCAAAAAGTGGCAGTAACAGCAAGATGCCCTTCTTTAGTTAAAAATTGTTTGCAGGATAACCTTTTAATAGGTTGTTATGCAGTAAATTCACTGCTTTGAAAGATGCAACGGTGGGGGTTTTTTGGTTGTTTTTTGTTGGTTTTTTTTTTTTAATGTTCCTCAGCAGCCATCTATAACTGTATGGATCTTACTGTAGCCATTTTAGAAAGAATGAGCTTCTTTTGAGGGTTAAAGGCAGTAAACTAAGATGCTCAGGCAAGATATCTACATTTCTGCAAAGTATAGTGCACTTGGAAAATACGTGGGACCTTATAGAGTGCAAAGAACAAAAAAGGTTACAAATTCAGGGCCTAAAGCTATTAAAACTTTTATGTGACTAAGTTTTGAGTTCATAACCTGCACTAGAAAATAAGTATTTCCAGTTAAGAAAATACTCTTATGAATTCATTCTCACAGAAAATACAGGCTGTTTTATTGTTGGTATATTTATTTTCCCAAAATTTTATCTAATTTTTGTTTAATTGTTTTATTCACTTCTTATTTTTCAGGAGTCTTTGAAAAATCCTTAGTGGTCATGACATTGTTACAAGTGACATAAATTAGCCAGTGGCTCAGAGTGATGGATACCCAGAAGACTACAAATGGTTTGCAAGTGATTGGAGAAGGGACTGGTATAGGGAAATCGACACTCCACATGGTGGGGTATTTGGGAAAAGTCAGTTGAAACTTGTTTTACATGTGTGCAAAGTTCATATTTTTCTCTGCTTTGAGAAATTTTTAATTGGTCTTAATTTTACAAAAAAAATTTTCAAAATTATTTTCCACGGAAATCTATAACAATGGCGAAAGATTATTCTAAGTAAATCTGTGCCTATGATTTTTTTATTGGCACTATTTTTACAACTGTTTGCATTCCTGTGAAAATTGATTTGTCTTTCAAAGATCTGAGCTTGTGTTCCCTGGCAATAAGTGTCTTTGGTTTAGTTCAAGTACAATGAAATGTTGCGTAATTGTGTTCTTAAATATGTCGTATTAAATATTTGAATATTTAAATCAAAAGATGAATTTATTTAGAACACTCTACTATATGAATATGTAACATACATATTTAAAAAAATCTAGTTTACTTTTTTAATATTGTAGTAGGTATTATAGAAGTTGCACGTTGGTTTTCTATCTTGGTATGTATGTCTTACCTTGGGATAATATATGAAATACATAAGTTTATGCTGGTTTGTTTTTGTTGTTTTTTTTTTTTTAGAACTGTAACCCTGTTGAAACAACTGCACATGAGTATTGTCCAGTCTGCAAAGAGAAGGGCCAGACCCAGCTTTTACGGACTTACCGCATTAATTTTCAAGAGTCCATTTTCCTTTGTGAAAATCCTCAGGTATTACACTAATTAACACTTTCGTTTGGTTGTGTTGTTGTGTTGGCCTTTACCTTCAGCAGTTACACTTCTTTAAGTTCAAGATTTTGGTGGTGGTGAGCAGTGTTGAAAAAGGACCCCTTTGAGTCCATATGCTGGTTGATGTTTGCCTGTATATAGACAAAACCATAACTAATCTGTGTACATGCAATGTTTAGGCATACTAGCTACCCTAAAGAATCAAAGAGAGTGGATTAAAATGAATAAAAGAGAATTTTGCTTATGTAACAAAGGAACACAAGGGGTACTAAATAAATCTTTGTATGAATCACAATACAAGGTGAAAATTTGATGATTGATGTAACTAATATATGACCCTTGCACATGTGAGTCTCCCATTTTCCATTCTTTAAGTCTGGGTAATGCCAATAGGTTTGTAATCATAATTACAATGTTTTTCTTTCTTTTTTTTTTTTTTCTCCTTTTAAGGGGAAACCCCTTTTCAGGGGTTGGAAGCATTTACTGGAATAGCAGTGTTGATTATCACTACTGATATATTTACTTCACAACTGCTTATAAGACAGTGGTTGGATAAAACACCCTTCCTGTCATGTATATGTTGAATTTATGTATTGATTTCATTAAAATACCATGACAGAAGTCCTACATTCCATTTTAAGGGTATGGTTTGTACTTTTTTGTAGCTCTTGTTCACCTGAAATTGCTTTGTAGATTTTACTGTAACCTTCTTTCCTTTAGTGTATCTACCCACTTGGTTATAAACCATTAAACAGCATAATTACTTCTGCGGATTCAGAAAATCATCAAGTTCCATCTACTCAGCAGAAAAGGAAGTTGTGTGATACCAGTGACTTTTCTCCTGTTGAATCACATGCAAAAAAATCAAGAACTAATAATGCGGTAAATGTTGAGCACACTATTAATAAAGACCCTGTTGTCAAATGCTATCAGAATAGCTTATGTATTCCCAAGTCAAGCCTACATGATGGGCTACAAAATGACCAGCAAAAACCTAGAAGCAATGTGGAGTCCTGCATCCAGAAGGTGGATTTGGAAAGAACCACCACCAACAGCAGCTGTCAAGAAAGTCCTCCTAAGACTTCCAGTCCCAGAACACAACCCTTGCCAAATTCTGAACTTTGCTCAACATCATCTGAAATTTTGCTCAGAGGTGATAAAGGTTCCGCTAATAACACAGACTTATGCCTTCAGTGGAGAAACATGCACAATCTTTGTTGGTTAGATTGCATTTTGTCAGCACTGGTACACTTAGAAACATTAAAATTTGCTCTAGCAGAAGAATATGGTGACGGAAAATGTTTACTCCAGAAACTCTTAACAAAATATAATCAAGCAACTGTGCTTCTGAATACCTGTAAAAGGAGTAAAGTAAAAGGTAAGTAAATTTAGCTGCTGTTTCTTCATATTCAGACTGATCTGATCCACTACAAATATGCAGTTTAGTACGGTGCACTTAAATATACCTCTGTTCTATTTCAAGATCATGAAAGAATGAGTTATAACAGATTACCATGAATTTGCAGAGTAGTGAGCTTTTTCTAGCAGAATTCTTGTTCTTGGGGCACACTTTGAAAGCATCAAACACTAAACATCTCCTGATTTTTTTTTTTTTTTATTTTTTTTTTTTTGTTATATCCCACATAGAGAATTTGTGAATTGTTTATGTAACTGAGCCTTACTTTGTTTCCTTCCCATCTGTTGGTTAGCATATTAGGATGCTGCTCTAATCTTGATCTTCAGAATAATTTTTGTTGTGGTTTATATCCTTGTATAAACCTTGCCTTGTCACACCGAAAATAGTAAAGCTGGGAACATGTGTTCTCTTCTGGCTCCAGCTGTGCTCATTGAAGGAGTGCTTCCTCTGAGGTCCGCAAGCTGTGCTGCGGCTGAGAGCGCTTCCTAACCTGTTTCAGTCAAAATCAGTCAAACACATTAACTTTGTTCATGTTGTCTGGAAAGGGTTGGTGAATATTCACACGTGCAGCTTAACAGGTTCCAGGACTGTCTCCTCCAAGCACAGGGGCAGTGGTGAGCAGCTGGGGGCAACCTTCCAGGCAGGACAGCTGGAGTCAGAGGAGGATGTGTCCCTATAAGCTGCCAGTACAGCCTTTGATCGTTTCCTGTACTGTAGATTTGGTTTCAGACTCTTAAACTAAGATCTGTTTTTCTTAGTCCTCTTGAACTGACCCATTGGTGTTGTAAGTCTGAAATTCTAAGAGATCATCTGTTAGAGACTTAATACAGATCTCTGGTTAGTCAGTACTTTCATGAATTTTTTGTTTTTCCAATAGACATCCAGGAAAAGTGTGTGTTTGAATATATAGACTGTAGTCCCAGAACAGCATTAGATAACATAAAGAATATCATACCTTTCCTGGGAAAAATAATAGGTATATAAAAATGATTTAATCCACCTTGTGGCAGAGAAAACATACTATTTTACAGAGGGGAGAAAAAAAATCAAAAAAGATTCTGAATTAGTTCATGTATTCTGCTTGCCAGAAAGCCAAGCTGCTTGGGTTTAGGTCTTCAGCTATTACCTGGAAGCCCCCTACCATTGCAGAACCTGTCTGAGATGAGTTTCTTTCCCCCCTGTTATGCTGTGTTTGCAAAGGAGCTCTGGTGAGCAAGAGCCCTTAAATGGGGATGGTAGGTATTGGAATATAGTGTTGTTTGAGGTGACATAAACCTTTGCATTTCCAGGAATTGCTGCAAAAGAGATGAGTTTATTTGGGCAACAGTGGAGAGGAGATTGGATGAAGAGTATTGTTGTGGAGAATAGGTGTAGTATTTATTCTGCCCTTTTGTGTAGTTTTGCATCGTCTTTTACACATGGTTGTTTTTAAAAACAATAGAGCTGCAAGAAACATCTTTTTACCTCTTTTATATACATAGATCTTATAAACAGTTTCAGCAGCTGTTCTAAACCCTTTGATTTGTGCAGGTTATGATCATAGTAGTAGTAGAAGTTATGTTCTTGCTTGTGCAAGAATGTGTTTGTGAATAAACAACGTAATTTGCAAATTTAAAATACATACTAAGATATATAAAATACACTATTTTAAAAAACTATATTTACTGTTTTAAAGGCTAACTTAGGAAATTAGTATTTAATCTGGAACACCACATTTAAATGTTTTATTATTAACTCTATAACGTCATTAGAAAGCATGTAAGCAATTTTTTTATGCTTTTGATCTTAAAATTTTATCTACTATATGTCTCCAAATCACCAGGGTTTGTAACATCTCATTAAATTATCCTGAGATGTCATGACTACTTAGCTATTGGTGCACACTCTCAGCCATAATTTAAATCAGGTTAAGTAATTTCTGGTTAGCAGACTGCAGTAAAACGTGTGTAACTCCTGTAAATTCTTCTCTAATTTTCAAATCAGTTAATACCAAGCATTGGCTATTTTACCAGCAGCTTTAGGCAAGTATAGGACAATATGAAAGGCATTATTTTGCAGAGGTTGAGTGCATGTTAAGGGTGCACATGCATGTGAAAGGGTAGGGGTGTTACACAAATACATGAAGACATATGTATTTTTTTTTCTTTAGATGTTCTTCCAAAAGCAGAATCTCATCTCAATGAAATCAGAAACAGAATGTTTACACAGCTTCAGCCTCGGCTTAATTGTGAATTGGGTAAGTAATTAGTGCAGCATCTCGGTATTTACTTTCAGCAAACTCTGTGTAAAGCCTTGTATGTCAGTACATAAAGATAGGTATGTATGTATGCATGCAAGACAGCTTGCAAATACTTTTGTTTTCATTGGTTACATACACATATTTACAGTGTGATCAGCTGTTTTGTCCCTTGACTAGTTCTGAAGTTTTAGAGAGCATATTCTTGTCTTTGTAACTGTGCTGTCGTCATGAAATTGTCATTGATAACAACCTAATAACATGGATCAGTCCCTTTGCTGTGTGGATTAGAAATACAGCCTTGAAGGGATAACGGGAATTAAAATCATAGCACTAAGCTTATCTCCTTCTTTTTTGGAGTATTGAAAGCTGATTTCAAATATTCAGTGACTTTTTTCCTGCCCCATCTTTGAAGGTAAGGAGGAGAGTCCAGTGTTCGCGCTCCCTCTGCTCTTACAACAGGATCAACAAGCTGAGAAACTGTTCTTGCATTCGTTTTCATGGAAGTTTGAATGTGTATGCTGTGGCTACAAATACCAGGATCGGTGAGATTTTTATTTAAGTAGCTTCTCTATAATTGTTCTATCTTAGCTTTTTTAATCTGCCTGTAATAGTTGATTTTTCTTCATATCTCCAAGTTTTGTACAGCTTAGGCTTGTTGGTGAAGTTTTACATGATCCACTCTTATAGGCTATCATTTGCAAATAGTTTACTGCTGTGTAATGTCTTAGGAAACCATGTTATCACTTAATTAAGGAAGAAACAATAGGTAACTGTGAGTCCCTGGCCATGCTCACTCTGATATTTTGTTGAGGGTATACAGATTGTTGAGGTTCTAAAGAATATACGCCTAGAACACTTTTGCTGTTGAAGGGTATCTGTGATATTTATTTGGATTACAAAGAATCAGAGATTCACTCACATAATTTATCTATTTAAAAATACTATTACAGGAAAGTAATTTCTTGAGAATTGATTTAGTTCAGTGTAGCTGTAGGTACAAGCTAGTCATTCAGGCTCCTTTTAGAGTCAGCCGAAAAAGAGACACCTTCAGAAGACAGCTCGTTTTACTTGAAAAATACCTGTTTCTCTCTACTCTCTTAGGTTTCTACAATAAAATTTTAGATCCCCAAGTGAAATGAAATTAATGCTACCTTACACTGCCAGCTAATATGTAGTCCTGGTTAACAGGATGCGTTCAAGAGCTGTTGTACATACTGTGGGGTTTTTTTGAAAGTTGAAAAATCTAGCTTAGGTTGAACATAAAGGAAGTCCTTTCTGTGGCTAATGAATGAATAAACTATGTTATTTCACTTTAATATCCCGTACGTTGTATTTTTGTAGAATGTAACCTCAGTGTAATCTCAGCTCTGAATGTACTGGTTTTTTGAAAACAAAACCTTGTATAACATAGATTCTGAGGTAATTTGTTACTGCTTCCTTCTCTCCTTGAGATTTTGTATTAGCTAGTAAATTATGCAGACCATGGTACAAGCTCTGTCTTGTTGGAAAGGAAACAGAGATAACGGGCGAAGGGAGAAAGAGCAAATAATGTGAAACTGAAGGCCACAGAGCTGCTGAGAACAAATGGTGGCTGATACTGTTTGGCAGAACTGAATTCAGTGCTGACTTGGATGTGATGCAGTCAACAGTGGAATTCACACACATGGCATGAATATGAATAGAATTTGGCTTTGTCATAACCTTTTTGCAACTTTTTTCTCCTGGTAAAGTGTGTATATTTATTGTTTTCTGATCAGCAACTCAACTTACTCTTTTTTTTGTGTGTGTGTGTGTGTATCCTCAGACTTAGGAGAACGCTAACAACATTCACAAATATAATCCCTGATTGGCATCCACTTAATGCTATTCATGTTGGACCATGTAATAACTGTAGTGATAGATCTCAAAGAAGACAGATGATTTTGGAAAAGTAAGTTTGAATACGTGAACTTGAAAATAAAATACACAAATTCTGACACTTCATTTATTGAATGTATCGCTTTCAAAACCAGACTATATCTTGGGTTTACAGAGATTCTAATTTTTAAACTCTGATAAATACTCACTTTTTAAGTTTTTAGATTGTTCTTAAATGCTGAAATGGCAAATAGTTTTTAATAAACATGAAACATAGAGCAGTGCTTAACATGCTGAGCAGCACATGTGTTTGAGCCAGGTCATAAATACTTACTACCAAGTAGTAAATATAGACAACTGATATCCAGTGTCAGCCTTTCCACAACTCCTGCTGTTGGATAAAACTGTTGTCTGATCATCTGTTTACTAGTTTGGCTTGGGAATAGTGTCCTTTCCTCCAGTGGTTATGACACAGTTGTCTCTCGCTTTTCCTCACCTTTTCCCTGCTCCCAAAATCCCCTTTGTGGTGGCGTTTTTTTCCTTGTCATCTATAAAAAAAAAAAAAAAAGGAATATCCAGGTGGGGTATTCATAATCCCTTGACTGCTGTGCAATCTGAAGAGTTCCATGTGGAAGTAGAATAGTGAGGGCAGGACTACATACTGTTTGAGATACCTTACGTGTGATTTTTCATTAGGAACCTTTGCCACTATTTTGTTGTAATAAACTGGTTCTTTGTTGTTTCTTTATTAGAGTACCTTCAGTATTCATGTTACATTTTGTAGAAGGCTTGCCACATAACAAGCTGAAGAACTATGCATTTCAGTTTGAAGAAGACACCTACCAAATAACAGCTATTGTTCAGTATCAAACAGATAAGAAGCACTTCATAACTTGGTCCTTGAATCCTGACGGTAAGATCTATAAATTATTACAATACTTCATGAGTCTACATCAAACACTGTTTATTGGGTTACTGCAGTAGTCTCAACAGTCCATATATAATACATATATAATATATAAGGATTTGTTTTGTCTGTATTCTAAACTTCATATTAAAAATTTGTGAATAATGGTGGAAACTTTGTTATTCAGGATGAAGGTTTCAGTTTGGTTTAGCTGATTTCTTGAGCAGTGTACTGTTCTACACTGTACTCACTGGCAAAAGTTATTTGGGTAGAGTTGTTTCCTTTCATAACTTTATAAAAAGTTAAAAAATACAGTCTCAGCATGACTGTGGGACAAATGATATTGGTTGTTTTGAAGCCAGTTATTAATCCATTCGTAGCTGGGAGTGAGGAAATTTATGGAACTAACAGCATTAATGAAGTTTCTTTTAATTTCTGAACTTTACTCCACCTGAGGAGTGGAAGGCACAAACCCATGTTAGAAACATTACTAATGGTATGATGGTTATACCATTGGCGGGAACTCCATAATCAGAGAAGGTGAAAAGTTGGTATTTTGGTTCTCGTGCTTCTGTGGAGAGAATGGAGTACACTCTTACCAAGTGTTCTGACAACATGAAAGTTGTCTAAATCATATTGCCAGAGCTCAAGAAGAAATAGGAAGAGGAAGCAGCAGGGAAGCATCTAATTAGGGACTTCCTATACATCATATATATTTATTTTTAAATTCTTAAAGCTGTGAAATATTTGCTCACGATCTGTGAACAGTTTGCAGATTATGAGGCAGATTATAAAAATGAGCAGTTTCTGTTAAACCCCCGTGCCTCCCACCTAGGCAATGAAAAGGCAGAGAAACTTAATTTGAGAGGCGGTTCTTCCTTCAGACCTGCGTGAGTATTTTCAGACAAGATGTCAGCATCATTAGCTTAGACAAAAAAACCCCACAAACAAACCCTTAGCTTTGTTTTTCGGCTGACCTACTCTGGCCTGTAATAATATTGCTGCAAGTTCTGCTTGTGTGTGATCTTTTTACAGTGGAAACCTCCCAGTTTTCCCAGATGTAATAAAGAATGGAGAAAAAACCCCAACTTTTATATTCTATCAGGGGAATGGGTTAATAAAAGTATTTGACAAGTGTCTGAGGATAGCGACTTCAATTTTAAAAGCCTCCAAGTCTCTACACTAGTTGCTATTTATTTTTCAGGAACTTGGCTAGAATGTGATGATTTAAAGGGTCCATATTGCAGGAGACATAAAAGATTTGAAGTTCCTCCTTCAGAGATTCATATTGTTATCTGGGAAAAGAAAATACCCCATGTGCCAGAAGAACTGAATTCACCATTCCAGACTAAAAATACTGAAGATTTTCCTCTTGACAATGTACAGTCGAATTCCACAGCGTTGCATTGTGGTTTTGATAACCCTGTAGACAATATACCTGCAGAACATGGCAAAGAGGATTCTGTAAGAACTCCAGGTAAGAAACAGCAGCAGGTAGCTGAGGATGAAAGCAGTGTTCATCGTGGTTTAGAAAATCTGGCACATGATGATCTTGTAACGCTGGTGCTTGAAGAAATTCAAGTTGACTCAGAAGGTAAATCGCTGTCGAATGGACAGATGGTGGGAAATAACGTTGTTGTTGAAATGGGTACACTGCAACAGGAGGAATTAGCTTCTTCACCTGACGCTCCATATAAAGGAGAGTTTGCTGGAACTAGTCTAGCTATGAACAAGAAATGCACATTATCGGAAAGTTCCAGCATTTGCTTGCCTCTAGAAGAGCTGAACCCAGCAAATAGTACTCCTTCTGTAGCCAAAAACTGCAACCCTGACCCATCTGACTCGTCGCTTGTTCAAAGAACATATGACAGAACTAATTTACCTAACAGAGACCATGGATTAAATTCAGAACCACAGCTAAACAAGAAGTTGCCACCAGTAGAGAATATTATGCAAAAATCACCTGACTTGAAAGATGCAAGCAAAACTGTAGTTAATTCTCAGGTTGCCAATTCTTCTGTTGCCAATAATTCCTGTCAGCCTTCACACAAAGACCAAAAAAGAGGATTTGTAGGAAGCTGGGTAAAGAAATTATTAAGCAAGAATACTTCTTTTATGCCTTCAAGTGCCTTGGCTCTCAAGAAAGAGAGAAGTTGCAAAACTCCCACAATGCAAAAAATAAGTGAAGTGCGGTTGCCAGTTAAGGGAGCAAGTAACTTTGGTGGATTTCTAAGCAGAAGTACAAACAAAAGAACTGAGACCCCCAAGTCTGTGGTTCCTCAGAGTAATAATACTCATCCTTTATCAAATTTCAAAGGATTTTCTGAGAGCACTCATCTTCCAGCAGCAAGTCATACTGCTATTGAAGGTCCAACTTGGAATAAGTCCGGAAGTACGTTGGGTACCTCAGGTAAAGTGACTCAGCTCCATTCACCTAGCTGTAACTCTGGGAAAGCAGAAGAGTCAGAGAGTGACAAAACGAAAAAACTTCGCCTAAAACTGTTAAAAAAACTTAATGCTAAAAAGAAGAAGTTGGCTTCACTGGATAGGCTAGCAGTGGAACAGATGAAACACGAAAAACCTGTGAGTGGAGATGTAAGCACCTCATCGCAGCTTGAATCTCACAATGACAGTGAATTATTCCAGACCTTTTTAAGGGAACTGCAGCATCAGATTGATGTTGCGGATAATGGATCTGAACTTAACGCGAGCTCTGTATCAGGGTGCACTAGCCATAGTAACAGTGATGAAATACTGGCAGAATTGCTGTCCCCTACTTCAACTGTTGCTTCCTTAGAGGCTCCAAAAAGTGAAGATGAATGTATGTATATGGAAATGGTGGACAGCAGTGTTGCAACAACAGCATCTGATGAGAAGACCAGTGTGCCACGGGCAGCAATGACAAGCGAGGACCACAATTACTACAGTCCTGTAAAGGACAGTAATTCAGAACTTCATGCAATAAGCAAACCCAGTGCAAAGAAACTTGCTTTTGAAAGTCCTACAAGGGAGGATATTCTTGAAGACCTGTTCTCCATTTCAGCACCAAGCTCAATGGCAGGTGACATAGATTTACCTCATTTTGATGAAACTCTGTTTGAAACTTGGTAAACGTTCGGTTTCTTGGTTTTAAGTATTTTTCAATATGTATATTTTGAAACAAAGCACTATTAAATTATGTTTTCAACTAATTTAATTGCACACTGGCTGTACTTGAACAATTTATATTTGAGGTATTTTTTTTCTTAACATTTTATTGTAGCAGACAAATAAGGTTTTAACGCATTTTATTTTTCCAAACAGTTATTTTAGCTGTTGCATATGATGATGCTTTTTAATTAAAAACTCCTGTGAGTCTTAATTTTTGCTGCTTTTAATATGGAAAACTTATCCATATTCTACTGAGTTTGAGAAATAATAAACTTCAGTAGTCTTGATGATGAAATGGTGTAAGAAATATTTTAGTAGTAGTGATTTATTTTACAGGGTTGCCCAATTCCTGAAGTCTTTTTTTCCTGAAATTTTAAAAAAGAAAAAGTACCTTCTGTACATCAGGGATGTTTGCATCCTTTGATACAAAAATAATTTGCAACACTAAGCTCGGGGCTGGTATTCTGTTAGGAACTCTACTCTCTTCAGAATTACTCTTCAACAAGGTCACCCTGATGTATGCACCCCTTGGATCCAAGGAAGGATGGATATGTGGTAGAAATATTACTATTTAAAGTTACGGCGCATACTGAGTTTTCATCCTCGTTAACTGAAAATATAATTTGGCAGAATATTCTCCCAAGCCAGGTTATTTTTTTTTTTTTAAATGATTAAGATTTGGGCCAGAGTTAGCAGCACTAAGGAAGAATATCAGATGTAACTTTCAGCTGTTCATAGCTGCAAACTCACTAATAAAAGAATTCAAGTTAACTGTAGGTTAGCACCCATTTCTGTTGTCACCAGGAGTTTTTCATGGCTAGAGCAGTGTACCCCTGTCTGTATGTGAGAGTGCCAAGGAGAGGCAAGGTCAATAGGAAGTAAATAATGGAAAAGGTGGCAAGACAGCAGCGAGTAAGCAGGAGGAGTCACTTCTTAGTGTTTCTGGATTTGTATAGCTTTCATTTTGCTAGATGGGAGTCTTTAAATTCATAGACACAGAGCTGAGGGTATTACGTGCTAAGTTAGATGAGCTGTACGTTTTTCTTGTACTCAGAAATAAAAGGGATTTTATCAGCAAGTCTGTTTCATCCATTTTTAGCGGTATTCTGCATTTTTTCATTGTTTTAGATCCCAAGTTCCAAACGTAAGTCCTCGGCCTTACTCTTCCAGTAGGTGCAGTTGAACATAATTGTTATTGCAAGCAGATTTAAGTGGTCTTGGAGTGCTTGAACCAGGTTGAAAATGTGTTTGAAATACTGTCAGTGGCACAGAACTGACCTTGCCAAGCTATTTCTGTTGCAATTACGTACATGTTTATCAGACTGGCACTTCAGACAATGAATGGTTTCATTCTTGAAATACAAGTCTTTGTAAAGAACTTGAGCTCCTTTGTTTTAAATGTTGTAATTGGTAACGTTACTATAGAAAACAGATCGATGGATTCTGAACGTAAAGTGCCAGTGTACTGCTGGTGAAATATTTGCCTGTATGTGGATTCCCTTAATAAAAAAAAAAAAAAAGCTGACCAAAATTAGAGTTTATCAGTGAATAAAATAAGTGCCTCTACAAGACCTGAGGGGGGGTGATTTTAGGATTTTCTTGTGTTTTCCAACCAGTGGTTTCTAACTACACGAACCACTAAAAAGCAGTGTGTCTCACTCCCCTGATTGTTGCAGAGGTTTCCCCCAGTGGTGGGGAGCTGCCTGCAAGCACAGGTACCATCTATGACCCACTGGGTTGCAGCTACCTGCAGCTGTGAAATGGGAACTCCTTCACCGCGGGCTCAGGACGTGACACAGACCCAGGGGTGAGTGAAGCAGCAAGCCTGGGGTTGACATGATGCAGAATGCGTAGTACAACATGAAGAGGAGACCCCGCTAGGAGGTGAGAAGGTCCTGGTGGTGAGGATTATAATAAGGTTAATAGAGAAGGAGCACATCTGCTGTGTGTATGCACCTACACAGAAACAAGAATAGAGTTAAATCCAGTTGGTGGCTGGTAACAAGCTGTGTCCCCCAGGGCTCAGTTTTGGGCCCCGTTCTATTTGATGTCTTTATCGATGATCTGGATGAGGGGATTGTGTGCCCTCAGTAAGTTTGCAGATGACACCCAACTGGGTGGGAGTGTCAATCTGCTTGAG